CTAGTTGCTGTATGTGGGACGCCGCCTCAGCATGGCCGGAGAAGCGGTGCGTCGGTGCGCGCCCGGGATCCGAACCCGGGCCACCAGTAGCGGAGCGCGCGCACTTAACCACTAAGCCACGGGCCGGCCCCGCTAATGTTTCTTAAGTGAGCAAAGTAGCTCTTTTTTACTGTCCCAGAGTTAAGGACTCTTATGATTGGTTATAGGCTTGTTGCTAAGAGAAGTCTTACAGGCTAATATGAACAGCCTTGCAGCTGTTGAGACCTTAGGCCCAGGCTAGCTTCTTGGTTTTTCTTTCTTCATTACCAGCTCCAGGCCTGGTAACCCCTGATCCAAAGATGCCACCACTGGCTCAAACCCTGAGGGCCTTCATCTCCTGCACTAACTGTGAAGTGCCATTCCGTCTCTTCAGTTTCCCTTCCCTGCTGTCCCAGAAGAAAAGCTGACAGGCCTCACCCCACGATGCTCTTTCTGTGGGGTCGGGGGTGGCAGGTGTCACTATCTTTTCTTTCAATGGTTTTATTGTAGAAAATTTCAAATGTTTCCAAAAGTAGAGAGACTAGTATAATGAAACTGTATGCACTTATAACTTCGATTCAACAATGATCAACTCACAGCTAATTTCATTTCAAGTATACCCCTAGCCACTTCCACTTGCCCCTACTGGATTATTTTGAAGAAAATCCCCAGACATTGTATCATTTTATTTGTAAACATTTTAATATGTACCTTTAAAAGTAAAAACATAATCACAATATTATTATCACAATTTACAAAAAAATTGTCCACAGTTCTTTAATATCATCGAATATCTAGTCAGTGCGCAAATTTTCCAATTGTCTCCTGAATGTTATTTTACATTTAGTTTGTTCGGATCAAAGTTCAAATGTTCACACACTGCATTTGGTTGAAATGTCTCTCAAGTTTCTTTTATTCATAAGTTTTTTTCTTTTCTATTTTTTTTTAAGAAATTGGATGATTTGTCCTGTATAATTTCCCATGTTCTGGATTTGGCTGAATGCATTGGCTGATGACAATTTAGGATGTTCCTCTGTCCTCTGTATTTCCTGTGAACCGGTGGTTAGGGCAGGAGGCCTGATCTGACCCAGGTTGGAATTTTGGGCAACAGTCCTTCACAGGTGGTGTGTGTACTTCCGTCTGGAGGCGCATCGTGCTGAGGGGTCTTTCTTTTCTGTAATGTTAGTGGCCGTTGATGATCATTACCTAAATCTATTATTTCATTAAGCATTTGCAAAATGGTGATATTCTAATTATCATTCCTTCTTCATTTATTAGCTGAAATACTTCCATAAAAAGAATCTAGGGGGCCGGCCCCGTGGCTTAGTGGGTAAGTGCGTGCGCTCCGCTGCTGGTGGCCCGGGTTCGGATCCTGGGCGCGCACCGACACACCGCTTGTCCGGCCATGCTGAGGCCGCGTCCCACATACAGCAACTAGAAGCATGTGCAAGTATGACATACAACTATCTACTGGGGCTTTGGGGAGAAAAAGGGGAAAAAAGGAGGAAGATTGGCAACAAATGTTAGCTCAGGGCTGGTTTTCCTCAGCAAAAAGAGGAGGATTGACGTGGATGTTAGCTCAGGGCTGATCTTCCTCACCAAAAAAAGAAAAAAATCTACCCCTCACTTAATAGGGGTACCCTGAGGTACAATTTATATAGAAGAAACAGGTTAAATGTTTAATTTTTTTATTTATCAGTTTTCAGAATAATAAATCTCTAACTCCTCCCAAAGAGAATTCTTTTAAAATTACCATTAGCAATGCATGGATTTAGCATATTTGATGAGTTTCCATCCTTTGCTGTTATTCTTCTTCTTGAAGCCCAAATTCTCCCGTCCCTGGCCAGTGAGAGCCTCTCTAGGTTGGCTCCTAAATCCATTGGACAGGATCCCTTTGATAGCTTTCTGGTTTTGAAGTCAGCCCATTGTCAGCCATTTCTCTAAGAAACTTTGTTTCCTTTTAGTAGGAAATGCTCTTTAGAGACCATGATCTGTCCCCTGGCTGTTGTTTTGTTTTGTTTTTTAAAACTTATATAAAAATACATGTCCACTGTAAAAAAAAAAAACAGATCAGAAGATACAGATAAATTGAAAGAAGATTAAAAATACCATAATTATACCAGAGAAATACTGTCAGATTTTGGTAAACCACATTCCAGACTTTCTATGTTCTTATAAATATTTTTTTAAATTACAAAATAACAGTGCATGTTGTTTGTATACTTGCCTTTTAAAAACTCAGCAAAATCTCATGAACATTTTTCTATCACATGAATACACTTCTCCAAGATCATTTAAACGGCTGCATGGTATTTCCTCCTCTGAACGCAGCACTGTTTTTATAACTAATTCCTGTTTTTGAACATATAAGTTGTCTCCTATTTTTCCATATTATAAATAAAAACTTATACTATGGAATATTTGACAAAATTTTCCATATTTATAATTTATAATATGGTATTATAATATTTAAAATTTATAATATTTATCAATTAAAAATTTGTGCAGTCATTTAATTTTTCTCCCATAGGATCAGTTCCTAAAAGTGAAATTGCCGGACCTAAGAATAGGCACATTGAGAAAAATCTCTTTAGTATAATATGT